TATCTAGTCCCAGTCCGAGATCCTCAAACTCACTGAGGGGGCTAAACCTTCTCAACCTCCTCTACAAATGGGAGCCAGGAACTATACAGTTTTCAGCTCTTTGTTGACTTTCCATAAATGGCACCCCCCCGTGGGAACGAGCTGCTCACCCAGAAAGTTCCCACAGTTGTGGCTGTGATGGTTTCTGGTGAGTAACCCAGAACTTTCCCATGGGTCTGCATGCATGCGGGATTGTGGAATAGTGAGGGGCTGTGCCCTGACACTCACCAAAACATGGTGGGAGACTTTTCTAACACTGAAACATACATTGCTACATTGCCCCACTTTGGCACTTTCCAATGCACATTGAATTATCAAAAAAGTGAATTAATTTTTTTTTTTCCAATTATTCCTAATTTCCTGAAATATCTCTCCCTAACTTATCCCAAAATTTCTGATTTTTCCCCTGATTTTTTGGACATTCTCCTTTTTAGAAAGTCCCCCATTTTCTGAATTTTCCTTAATTTTCCCTGATTTTTTTCAAGTTTTTAGAAACCCCCCAGTTCCCCCTCAGTTTCCTCCCATTTTCCCCTTCATCCCCCCCCTCAATTTCCCCCCATCCCCCCTTTGATTTCCCCTCATTCCCCCTCCCAATTTCCCCCTTCAAATTCCCCTCATTCCCCCCCCAATTCCCACCTCAATTTCCCCCCCATTTCTCCCCCATTCCCCCTCCAAATTTCCCCTCATTCCCCCCCCCCCATTCCCTCCCAATTCCCCCTTCAAATTTCCCTCATTCCCCCCCATTTCCCCCTCCATTTCCTCCCTCATTTTCCCCCTCATCCCCCCTCATTCCCCCTCATTCCCCCTCCAAATTTCACCCCATTCCCCCCTCCATTTTCCCCCCACTTCCCCCTCAATTTCCCCTCATTTCCTCCCTCATTCCCCCAATTCCTCCTCATTTCCCCTCCAAATGTCACCCCATTCCCCCCTCCATTTTCCCTCATTTCCCCCTCATTTTCCCCCCATTTCCCCTTTAATTTTCCCCTCATTTTCTCCCTCATCCCCCCCAATTCCCCCCATTCCCCCCCCTCAATTTCCCCCCCATTTCCCCCCATTTCCCCCCACTCATTTTCCCACTCATTTTCCCGCATTTTCCCTAAGTAATTTCAGATTAACTGCATTTATATCCCTAAATTTGGCTTATATATTGATTGGGCTACATACCCTTGGTGTCTGGTGCCGCATTGGTGCTGAAAGTGAAGCTGAGTTTGTTCAGTCCCTTGTATGGTAGGGACTTGGCTATGGCTAGTCACATGATGCCATAGTCAATGCTTTTAAATTTAAATTTTAATATCGGGTAAATTAAACACTCAGGGAGCTCATATAGATAATAGTCCCCTGTGTGCAAATATAGCTCTATGAGCTCTCAGAGCTTTGACTACTTTTCGGAGCTCTCAGAGAAGGGGACCTGCAATTTCAAAGTACTGAAGCTCTGAGAGCTCTGAGAGCTCTATGAGCTCTATGAGCTCTCAGGCCTCCGCATCCAGGTTTGCTGATGAGGGGTGGGGCTCTATAGCGTACCCATTCTGCGCTGCTAAGCTAACCCAACAGGGCATTTTCAACAAGGGCCCCGAATGCATAAGCGAGAGCTTCGAGTCACAGCCTGCACCATGGCACGTCATGGCAAGGTTGAAAACGCCCTGTTGGGTCAGCTAGCAGCGCAAAGTGGGTACCAAGCCCAAATGAACAACACTGTAAAGTCGAAAGAATAAGAATTAGAATAAAAACAAAATCAGGATGTCTAAACGATGGAAAATAAGAATGAAAGAGATCGGGCAGCATTCATACCCCAAAATTATTCAAAGCGTTCCCCAAGCTATCAAGGTTGGCATTTTGGAGGTAAGCCAGGTTCGGAGTTGTGGAATCTGTTGAAGTCCTAGGGGGCTTGCAGCATCACGGAGTCAAGATATGTGTGGGGAGGTGAAAGGGGGAATGAAAGGTGAGCGCTGGAAGGGCCCGGACAGTGCTGACTGGACATTCCGGAACGGGTACTTGTTGGCGAGGGGGGGGAGTTTTGTTCTTGAGGTATTGGAGCTCATAATTGGAGAGACTGCGAAATGGAAATGTAAAAGAGTTTGACGAGCTTAGGCACCACAATCCCGTCGTCGGACACAACGCCTGAAGACGATAACGGCAAACATGATGAGGTTGGTTGATCGCCACGCTGTCCTTGCAACAAAGAAAAGCACAGACATTTCGGCAACGCAGATGACCTAGCCTGTTAAAAAAGGAAAACACGACAACAAGATGATGAGCTTGAGCACTAACAGCAATGCAATGAAGTCGATTACCACACTGTCCTTACAAGCAAGGAAAGTGCGAAAAGTGCAGTCGTTTCAAACACGTATATCCAACCCCTAAGATGCGGATGATAAAGGTAAAAGCTAAAAAAGGTCCCGACACCAAGGACGAAGCAGGAAAGAGTAATTAAAAGGCACACACCTGAATAGAGATACAATAACGGCAAACGGGATAAAATTGGCTACTGCACTATACTTGCAGTCAAGATGTTCCAACCAACAAGGTACAGACGCTCCAATCACGCGTTTTCCAACCTTTTAAGGTGCAGAGAATAAGAGTGAAAGCGACGAGGTATGGTACAATAATGACAAACAGGGGAAATTGGTCGCTGCGTTGTACTTGTAATCAAGAAGAACACAGACATTCCAATCGCACGTTTCCAACCTTTAAGGTGTAGAATGAGAGTGAAGGTGACGAGGTACGGTACGATAATGGCAAACAGGGGAAATTGGTCGCTGCGTTGTACTTGTAATCAAGAAGAACACAGACGTTCCAATCGCACGTTTCCAGTACGGTACGATAATGGCAAATGGGGGAAATTGGTCGCTGCGTTATACTTGTAATCAAGAAGAACACAGACACTCCAATCACAAGTTTCCAACCTTTTGAGGTGCAGAGAATAAGGTGACGAGGTACGCTACGATAATGGTAAACGAGGGAAATTGGTCGCTGCGTTGTACTTGTAATCAAGAAGAACACAGACATTCCAATCGCACGTTTCCAACCTTTAAGGTGTAGAATGAGAGTGAAGGCAACGAGGTACGGTACGATAATGGCAAACAGGGGAAATTGGTCGCTGTGTTGTACTTGTAATCAAGAAGAACACAGACGTTCCAATCACACGTTCCAACCTTTGAGGTGTAGAATGAGATGAAGGCGACGAGGTACGGTACGATAATGGCAAACAGGGAAATTGGTCGCTGTGTTGTACTTGTAATCAAGAAAAACACAGACACTCCAATCACATGTCTCCAACCTTTAAGGTACGAAAATAATGAGAATGCAGGTGCAGCTCAACGGGCAGAGGAACGTGATGGGATTGGTTGCTGTACTATCCTTGGTCTCCAACAAGAAGAGTACAAACATTCCAATTGCACGTCTCAGAGAGATATGAGCATCGGCCAGCAAGTATGTGGGCAGAGGAAAAATACCCGCAACAATTGTACAGTTTATTATTATCGGATACACGCAACAATGGCATTACCTAAGTAGTTCAAGTATAGTTAATTATTGATAAAATTAAAAGAAAAATTAGTCCATGATGCAAATGGTACGGGGATCACATCAAGATAAGATGTGTCCATGGTTCAGCAACATGTTTCATGTAGCGAGGCTGATCAAGATCCGGTTCAAGCACGATTGCCAGTTGCTGCCCTTAGGTGGTATTGAAGCATCTCGGCACTCGAGTGGGTGATAGATGGTGTTTCGCCATTCCTCATCATCTCGTACGAGCCCAACATGCAACATGGCGAATCACGAAAATCATAGGGCCCGACGTTGGCCACATAGGCACCGAGAATTTTGACAAGCCCCGAGGCTGGAGAGAATGGGCACTAACAAGAAACCTCGAAACGATGGAGTTTCAATGTCAAAAGGTTTTGATGTACCCTAGACTGCAGCCAAGTGGCCGTAAACATGATGCCCTCCATAGGATGAATGCGATCGCTTTGATTGGGGGAGGTGCTGTTTGTGGTGAGCAGGGAACGAGGGAGGATATTTCTCGTACTGGAGGAACGAGTGAAGGTGATTGATCTTGTTGGCCTTCGGAGTGCAATGTCCATGAGCGTGATATCAACGTGATCACGCGTAAACGCCACATCTACATACGGCAAATCTAATGTGAAGTGGTGATTGTTGAGCGAAGCCCACATAGATGTGGAGGAACAGGATTTCCCCTCTGAACGCAACTTCTCGGCCATTTTATCACGATTATCCACGCACTTGAAGAGCAACTCCATAGATGGTGGCTCATGCCGCCACCCTTCCTTGAATGATGCGTTGCATAAACTCCTTGGGCGTGGCACTTTTCCAACCAGGCCAGCTCTGCTCCTGTACATCAACTACGGTGAGGCGATACCAGTGGCCAAGAGGAACCACGGCCGACGACACAGATTGTGAGGGGCGGCCACGCCACCACGGTCACTCCAGTGGCGTGGCACGACGCCCAGGAGCAGTCGTAGGAAGACACTCCGGCTCCATCACCGCGTGTCGACATATTGAACGAAGCCGCTGCCTGATGCCTCCTGACGATTTAGGCTCAAGGACGGCGACGAAGCTACAGCAGGGGTAGGACGTGGCCCATTGGCAATGCAGCAGGTTGTTGAGTGGGTGATGCAAGGATTGGCAAAGGTGGGGTGTCGGGGTGTCGGGGACTGCCTCCACTCAGCGGCACCGAGCCTCCGGCCTTTCATCGTTTGGCCTCGAGAATGGTAGAGGAACGACAGGTGCATCGCAGTCTGGCAATGCAACATTTCCTGTCTTGCGAAGCGACGAAGAGGAATCAGGCGAAGAAACGACCCAAGGTGTGGGGAGTGAGTCGTAGGTGCGAGAGAGGATTTCTGTGCCTCACGGCGCTTCTTGTTACTCCTGGAACGAGATTTTTGGTCTCTCGGCACTCGTTACTGTGGAAGACGGGGGAGAATTAACATGGGACGTGGCCCCTACCCTAGAGTCTGATACCCACGGCACCGAGAGAAGAACGATCGGGAGAGGAGACGTAAGGAGGGAATGGGATGGAGTTGTGAGGGGACCGTTGGTGCCAAAGATGGGGGAGGATTAACATGGCTCGTGGCCCCTAAGGAACGCGAAGTCTCGATACTCGCGCACCAGGAGAGGAACGATCGGGGAGAGGAAATGACCTGGACGCAAGGGGGGAACGGGATGGAGGAGTTGTGATGGGACACCAGCAGCGAGTACATGATGGCTTGAAGCAATGGATCAGTTGTATCGATGTCCATTGCGTCAGGATCACTCTGCAATCTTAGCCTCTTTCGAGGGCATCTGGCAGATTGCCGATCAGCCTGTACTTGTGCCAATTACTGACGATGTGGTAGTCATGGGCGGACAGTTGCCTCTTCTTTTTCCCATGTCCCCGTTCCCAGATCTCTTGACATCTGGCAGTGGCATGTGAGTCGCCATCCCGCACATCTTGCAAGAGCTGACCAGCGGCGCGCACGCTCTGTCGGTCACTGGAAAATTTTCGAGCTGCCGATTCAACCCTTTCATCATACTCGGACGAGTCCTCATCATTTCTTGATGGGGAGGCTCAAAGTGAGGACGGAATTCGTCATCACTGGAGCTCCCGGCTCCATCATGCCAGGTGGTAGACACTACTCTACGGCCAAGTACCGAAGATGATGGACGGGGTGAAAGACGGGGTGAAAGACGGGCCGGAGGCACAACAGGAAAGAGGCCATGGCCAAAAAAAGACTTGATTTTCCGACACAGTTCCTCCTCTGTGTAGAGCGGGTTGTGTGGAGGATAGAGCGCGTCTGCGAGGGCCAATTCCACTGGAGTGGAGAGGTCAGGCGAACCTGGATAGCCATGGGCTGGCTTGATGATCCAGGGTGTTGGGCGAACGGGTATGAACTCGAGCTGCTTGAAAACAATGTCCCTCGACCGCTTAGATGGAAGCGATGCGGACTGAACTGCCATCTTATGACTGTTAACATCCGAATCCGACCAGCCGCCTGGCACAAAATCTCGCTGAAGACTGGCCCCACTCCCAACGACTTGAACCCCAAAGACAGGAACGCCGTGACGGGATAGCCTTGCCATTGTTGAACCCAGCGATGGGCAGTCGTCCGGGAAAGGGAGCTCAAACACAGCACCCACCAGCTCATCGTCCACGCCCAAAAAATAATTACCATCGTGACCACGAAGAAGCCGCTCGATGTGACGATGACAGTACCATCGACCAACACCACCCAATTCGTAAGCGAACGTAAATACTTGATCCACAGTGTCGATCAGATCCTCAAGGTTCCTCCCCCGACATCTTAGCTTGTCCTTCCACTCAAAAGAAGCTTGAGTTAACCCATCTCGCGTTCGAGGCATCGGCACACATTGTTCGACTAGGAGAAAATCGCTCCGGATCGCATCCCACCGCGAGAAGAGGTCAAATTGAGACTGCACGAACGTCTCAACACGGTGGATATACTGAATTTTAAGACACTTTCCCCCACGACAGTCCTCAACGACTGAGGAATCAGGAAGAGGGGGTCGAGGGAAGTGCGACGAATGAATGGACGATATGGTGCATTTTGTGAGAACGTGAGAGGCATGCGCGAGATTGATGACGAGTAGAGGGAGGGAATGGGTGAAGTTCTTGGGTATTGGGGAGCATTGTGTAATTTTCTACGTTCGGCAGGGGTAAGGAGGTGATAAGGGGTGAAGGAGTAAACAGGTTCTCCGACGGGATTTCCAAGAAAATTGAAGCTTCTCAGAGAGTTTGCGTAACGCAGTATCCATGAGTGGATGACAAAGTCCTTGGGAGGTTTTGCTACCCGGATCCCTAATAGTCATGAGAAACGAATTGCGCCAGCAGGGTCGAAGAAACATACCTGCGTGCATGCGAGCCATCCACTCTTGCACAGTCCGACGCAGGGCGCTGGAAGGTCCCGCGTGGTTATATGGTATGAAGGTCCCAGACGTGGTCCAGGTTAGCGGAGTGTCAAGCCCCTACAGTAATTCAGTCGACGTTCGACAGCGCTGATCTTTGATCCTTGTTCATACCGTTTCCGCCAGTGCATTGGGGCCTACCGAGCGTCCAGCTGGAGCAGCAGGCTCTGCGGTTTGCGAGAATGCTGCATCACGAGCCGAACCAGGGTTGACACTGCATTTCGTGACATCGGGACGATTTACGGTAGAATTGGCCGAGCTTGCAAGGTGTTTGGGGGTTTGTATTTTTTTTTCGTGGGAAAAGCGCGTCATGGAGCCACCCCGTGGGACTTCATCGGACCCAAAATGCTTGGCCATTCAGTTTGACGTAGCCAGGGTATTGGAATTCGCCCAAGACACGTTGTGAGGAACATAGGAGGTAATTGAGGAAGAGGGGATAGTAGTTCGGAACAACACCATTTGATAGATTCGCTTTCCAGAAGGAGAGCCCCACACCATGTACATAGATTCTGTTGCCAATCAAATCGATCGGGAAAAGGCGATAGGAGGGCCAAAGTTGATCGTCCGATATTGTAGCACTTGGTTGCACACAAAGGGTTTAACAGTGGGTTGTTGCGGATGGGTCGTACCTACTTGACGTTGACTCTGAGAACGGTGAAGCCTGGAGCGGATGGCTTCTGGATGGAGGGACATGGCCGATTGCAGATGTGAGTGGCAAGAGATTAGAACGTCGTCATCATTTTCAATGGGATTGATCCAAGTGAGGGAGTTTGCCCAAGTGACGAAGAGGAGGTGAACGACACACGTGAAAACACAGTGCCGATGGTTGCAATGCGTGGCACGTTCAGTATCTCCGTAATAGCAGCAAGTCACTAGAACTTCCCCGCTTTCCAGACACACTGTACACGCGCCAAAAAAAATGAAGGCCGTACAAAGTAAATGTGATCGTAATCAGGGAGAAAGGATTGGGCGACGCCGTGGATGGCCAAGTCGCTCATGTCTCGCATCAGTGGAGTGAGCAGGCGCGAGGCGCTGTCCGCGGCTCTCAGTTGGAGACGCGGCGTTCCGGAGATGGCGAGGCACAGCGAATGGGTGGCATCACGGACACGTTAATGTGAGGTGGTGAGAGTACTGGGGAATGGGAATCATGACGAATCAAACAATCTACATGTGAATGTCAGGTGATGAGAGACAAATCAGGCGATTTAATTGACAATCCAAAGTGTTCCACGACCGCGACGATTATAGATTGTCTACGCAAAATAAATACAAGCTAAATGTGAAAAATATTGTACGGGTTCGTTGAAAGATGAAGTTCATCGGTGACTTTGGGAGGACAAAATACATGGATGGCATCATTATGCGATAGTTGAGATATAATCCCACATTCCGCCCATGCACTCAAATCTTCCAGCTCCACCAAAGGTGGGTTCGTAGCGTCGTGGGAGGTATTGGGCTGGGTGGGTGGAACGTTCAAAAATGAGATCGACCGAGAGGGTAAAGCTTGTGCATCGATATCTTTCATCGTGTCCACATACTTAATGCGGCCCTCTTGAATCGTGAATTTAGTATAAACACGAAATAGATCGATGTAGCCTAGTCACAACGTGAGCGGGAATGAAGACGCGATCATGTTAATACTGCACGATGCGTACCTGCTAGCTCTAGAGCGCTCTGGCTTCCATGCTCACAGACAGAGACTGTCCAACCTGCCTTATCGCCAAGATTTCCCTCCGGAAATCGACACCGAAACACTCCAAGTAGTTGGTCCTGCCACCGACGATCCAATGGCACAATGATTTCGCAGACCATCAAATCTTGTGCCTAAAAAAAAATTGGAAATCATGGAAAAATATAACCTTGAATTCAATTGCATGCATACCTGAGGGAAAAACCAAGCGCCTTTCAAACTGATTTGGCACTGGGCCACCCAAGCGTCGAGGAGCAATAGAGGCAAAGGCACATCATCACCCGGTAGAGAGACCCATGGGGCCATAACACTCAAGGATAAATGTTTGGTGGCAGGAGCCGGGGTGCTAGACTTCTTTTTGAAGTGCGGGAGGGACCTCCCAGTCGAAAACATGGTGATTGTTCGAGTGTGGGAACATTCTGGGCGAGCGACTCGCCCAGAAACTATCACCGCCACAGGCGTGGGAACATTCTGGGCGAGCAACTCGCCCAGAAACTATCACAGCCACAAGTGTGGGAACACTCTGGGCGAGCAACTCGCCCAGAATATTTTCACAGTCACGGGGCCTTGCCACTGTGATCCCATCTTGCTCGTGTTCCACCATAGTTCTGTGGCCCGCTCACCTTCTCTCTCGTTTGACACGATAAGTAAGCAAGCGAACGTCGTATATTGCAAGGCACTTACACTTATCATCCACAACCAACAAGAAAATTTGTGGTTAGTTTGGCGACTCGCTATCGTAGCTCATGAAAGAGATCCAGTTTTCCAGGTAGGTTGCCAGTGTGGATTTGGAAGGGAAACATTTTGTTAGAATTCTCGGTATTATGGTGTACGCTTTCATGTTTGTTGATGTTGAGTCGTGTGGTGTCTCAGATTTTCACCTTTGTGGTCACATCGGTGCCAAAGTCAGTGCACATTCATGGCGCCTGACTATAAAAACCCAATTTTTGGACAACCCAACCTTCCCTCAGTTCACGTACAACGGGACTGAGGCGACTTCGTTATCTCTTGTCTATCTCGCACAAATCATGTATTAAATACTTGTACACCAGCGATAAACTCGCTAGGTGATTATTCTACAATCTATTCTAGTTCACGTACAACGGGACTGAGCGATAAACTCCATTTCCTCTTATACGTTTTACTTTATCAGTCTTGTGTTAAATAACGTTCATGTCCAATGGTATAGCATCAAGGTAGCTTGAATGTTTGCCATAATTCGACTGGGGCAGTGCGCATACATAGTTTGAGAGCCAACTGCTGGGGAGCGCTGTGAAGCATCTCTTTCGGAAATATCCTAAGAGGCTATATGATAACATGACTTATGTCTATAGCCATTCAATACTCTTTTGAATTGTTTCCCTTTTTTTTTTTTTCAGTTCTCCACGCATACATAGACATTTTATCAACACAGTTTTAATACCAACAACCATGAAAGCACACAAGGAAAAGCGACAGACGAAGAAGCAGAAGAAGCAGAAGCGTGACCAATATCGAGAGGCCAATATCGCACCAGTCCGGTTCATCGTAAATCCCGAGTTGAGTTATCTCATCCCTTGTTGATATCAACCACCTACCTTTATTTTAGACTCGAGTCCCAGAGAGCACACAAGGAGCGCCTAAAGGGTATCGATGACTCTCGGATCCGGCATATTGTGGAGGTGGCAGAAAGCAAAGTAGATATCAATATTTGTAATGCCATGACGAACACAAGTATGTTCCTAATACCATTTCTTACCCTCTCTCTCAATGCAACCCAAAATAGTAAAACTCGACTTCGATTATGCCGACATAGCAAGCCACAATGATGGGGCTGTTCCGCCTGCAAAGAGCCAGTCACATCCAAAGGACCTCGAGCTCCCTCCTCTCTCCTCGAATCATGCCCGGACCCTACTTGAGAGTGAGGCTGGTGCGGCCATCGAGGATCGGTCAGGGAACCTGCTGGCTATACGGATCCCAAATGTTTTTAGCCCAATTCATGTATGTTTTCATATCCTCGGCTGCAAAACTCACCTGATTATTTCCAAGGAGGAAATTTTGAATGCTGGTCGCGAGTTCAATCGAAATTTTAAATTCGACAAGAAGAAATCCCGGAACCACTTTGTTCCATCATTGGATCTATTCCAGAAAGGCCAAGTCCATTATGGTTACTGGCACCAACAGGGTCACTACGTGAGTTTTGATTGTTTTCTTGATTATTTAAATTAAATATATTCCCATAGGAAATATCGCCTCAAATCTCCACCGATTCAAAGGAGAAAGAACATAATCACCCCTTCCAAAAGAAATGCGAGCCACTCTACCACATCCTCAACATGTACACTGAGAGGATTGCGCCGTCATTGGCAAAACAGAGCGATCAAGTATGGGAACAGATCAGGAAGCACCGGGATCACGAGGGTTTCCTATCTGAAATCAAGTCCCATTTCTTCGGCCAGACGGTCCATTTCAATGCGGATATTCGGCGCCACAAGGATCGGAGATCTGCCTGGTGTGGCTTTGATGCAATAGCCGTATTTGGAGAATACGAGGGAGGAAATCTCCATTTCAGAGAGTTGGGTTGCTCTTTCCCCTCCCATCCAGGAGATCTTTTCTTTATTCGTGGTGCTGGATTGTATCATGAGGCCCGTAGTGGGGATCAAGAGGCTGGGGGCTGGGTTGGCAAAGGGCGAATGGTTTTTGCGTTTTTTTCTGATAGACGGGTATTTGCACACGAGCACATCCCAAGACCTAAGGACCTGGGCGCTATCTATGGGACGCAGGGACAGAAAAAATTCCGTGAACACCACCCCCACCTTGATCAGTGATCTCCTGTGACGTGGACTGCCTGGTATCTAGTCCACGATACCTTTCTTTCTTTTGTCCCTTGTTAGATATATTATGTTAAATATATTATTTATCAAGTTGGTGTGGGCTATCTCAACGGACGTGAGCCAGGATACAAATACATTATTTCACGAAGACTAGCGTAGCAACGGCCCCGACAGGATGTCGAAGCCTCTTGAGCTGGTAAATACGTAATGATGAATGTTGTTAGCAGACAAGCATGCAGGCGGTGAAATTAGCCGCATGTGCGCGACGCGTTACGTGTGTTCTCGTACATACAAAGGGAAAGCACAAAACTACTAGAACTGATGACAGCCAAATTGAGAGCCGTAAAAACTAAAACAGCAAACAGAAGCTAATGTACAGAGATGAAATACAATGAAGAAAAAGGAGTAACAGATGATGTAAAAAAGTTCAAAAAGAAGAGACGGCAAAGGAGGAGTATCGGGGAGGAGGGAGACAAGAAAACAGGCTAGGAGCTGGAGCAAATGGGAATGTAGTTGAGAATTGCGGTATTGGCAGCAGCAAATCCGGGACAGAGTAATGTGTAGGTGGCAGCAGCGGCAGCGGGTCAAAAGCGTACCAGGGGAGCGCGAGATACCAGGCCCTTTTATAGGCACGACCTAGGTAGTATTTAAACCTCTCCTCAACAGCGAAAGTTCAGTACGTACCTCCACTGAATGGTCCGCTTCGCGCCTCTGCGCTGGAACATTCAGCATACGACTGAGGTAGCGTGCTTTGACCCGTTCAGGCTAAGTTGCGCGATAAATCATGAGAAATCCGTGATCGATGAGAGGAAGGCCAAAGCGGTCTCGACTGGGCGCAGCCAGGTTTCCCAGCCAGTGGCAAACAGGGGCGGAAACCTGAGGTCAGCTGGGGGTAGACTGCTAACCCATGATTAGTGTTACTGAAGTTGTAGCGGGAGACGGCCAAGTGGCCCAGTGTATATTAGGCAAAGTGGACCCGTTTGTCCATATACAGAGTAGAACGCACAACAGAATACAGAAAGGAAAAAGGAAAAGCGGAAAAATAGAAGATGAGGAGACAGAGAGGTACAAAGTACAGCGCAAGTCAAGAGAGAGAAGAGTCGGTGAACCAGAAAGTTTGTGAACTCCATTAGGAGTGGAAATGGAAAGATGAAACGGTGGAGAGAGGGGAGGTGGTGGGAAATGCAAAAACAAGCTACTGAGCAGGCATGGACGATTCCGGGAGTCAAGAGAGCGGCAGCAGCAGAAACAGCAGCGACAATGCACGAGTAAGAGTTTGGAGACAAAGCAGTAAGCGGCCTTACTCACCGAGAGAGGCACGAGTCCAGGAGATAGAGAGGGGGGAAAGTAAAGGTGCAGGCGCTTTTATAAGTGTGGCCTGGACTAATTGTGAGCACTCTCGCAGTGAGGGAAGTTCAGTACGTACCTCCGCTAGTGTGGTCTGTTCCGCGCATCCGTGCCAGAAAGCAAACCTCATTGAGTAGTCAGGTTGCGCGGCAACTCGTGAATGGTAGGAGCGGTAAAAGGGAGTGGACAGGAGCGGCAGGATATGATTGGACAGAGGAAACCTCGGCATGAGCTGGGTTGGGTCTGACCACAGCCCCGTGATTAGTCCTGTGAAATGAGAACATTAAACAACAATTAAACGATGGACGGCATTAATGGTGGGCGCGATGACTCGGGAGGCGGAGAGAGATATGAACACCGAGCCACAACTGACGACACACTGGCATCTGTGCGCGCAGCAGTGTGACTCAAATCAATGTTGGAGGCCGCATTATCAGAGTACCGAAAGGATTTCCGAGATCGGGATTGGGTGATGATAAGGATTGGGTCGATGACACCAAAGCAGGGAGGGGTTGGACAGGGTGTCGAGTGTGGAGGGATCTACAGAATCTGTTGGGAGGAGCGTTCTTGAGCCAGTGCATTTGGGTGCGGCATCGGGATTGCAGTCCACTGAGCACGAACCGCGCCCAACAACCACATAACCGCCTGCAGAGATTGGCGATCGCAATAAGCGTGCGTAAGTTACAAGCCCTGCTGCGGTGGGGGAACTTACCAGTTAACACCAAGCGCAAGCGCGATGGAGAAGGGAGCAGAACTCCCACAACCTCAGCCTTCCTGGAGGCAACTTAGGATCCAGGCGCCCATCAACAAACACTGCGGGCGAGATGGAATCGCATACACGTGACTGCGACTGCGGGCTCAGTGTATCCCCTTCCATGAGACATATTTCCCTCGAATAAAGGTAATTATCTTCGATATAGCTCCTGCATTTGTTATTCAGAAACCAAAAAAAATTAAAATAAAAAAGGAGGGATGTAAAAAGACACGATGGCACGTCTGCCTGGGGAACACTTTGAGGGATATGCTCTGATCCCTTTGTGTCAAAGTATTGGAACCCCCAGGGAGCAGCAGATATGCCAAAGTGGGACAAGAGGAAAAATAAAATAAAAACGGGAATGCGGAATGGGAACGCTGCGCGGGAATGAGAGATGTAAGCGCTGAATACATCAAAAGGTTCCTACCTGGAAATCAACGCTCCCAACTCCCCCACCTTCATGCCGGTTATACTCTGGACAAGTTCAGCTCTCAATGAAATAGGAAGGAAAGGCTCACACCAGGGATTCGACTTGGGGGAAGGGTGCAGGGTTCCAAGGGATGCTGTGCTATGATATCCCAACGGCGCGCTATCGGGCACAACACAACCCTGCCTTGGACACAGGTAAGAGAACCTGGGATCGTTATCTGGTAGGGGAAGAGCGGGCCCTCCCTCCCCCCACCTCGATCCTTCCTGCACCCCAGTGGGAGAAAAAAAAAGTGTCCACACAGCCTCACAATTTAAATGGCTACCCGGCTCCATCCGGCAACACTTAAATAGCCTTACAAGCGTGGCGGTAAATGCAATCGATTATTGTCTAATCAGACAGTGTGAGCACTTAGTGTAAATGGCCGGAACCCGAGCTGGTCCCAGCCTATGGATTGGCACGCATGCATCGTGCGACCCGGTCCTGGTAATGTACAATGAGATACAATGATGCCAAAAGAGAAGAGATTGGCCGACAGGGAGACAAATTGTACAAATATGGATACAAAGTATCGGGGTGGTGAAAAGGAGAGGAGGATTTGGAAAACGCGTTTGTCTCAGTAATAAGATGCATATCTCTTGTTAGTGAGGAGAGTGGTACAGGAGGAGAGCGAGGAGGACGGGATGAACTCTTCGTCGACAAATCGAGGGATAAAGGAATCTCGAACAAATAAGAGATCTCCAACGCAGGGTGGAGGGACCGAACTGGACTTGGACACAAAGGAATTGAACTTCACAATCATTGCATCCCCGGCATCGGTACCTGATTAAGAACCGGTGTTTGCAGCGGAAGCGTGTGTTCGGTGGCAGTGTCTGCGAGCGACATAAACGGTTAACCATACGCACCTGAGTGGGGATAAGGAAAGGGGCCGAACCTCGGATCCTGAGTGGATGATCATAGTCAGAAAGAACAGCACCACCACCGCGAACATTGTGCACAGCTCACCATCGAGAGCACGGAGGCCCGTATTGGGAAAGGCCCAGTCAGGTTTGCAACGATTTGCTTCCCTGCGGACGTCAGAACGACGTCAAGCCATCAAAGTCCGCGCTAAGGCCAGCAAATGAGGAGGGCCAAAAGGGTAGGAAAAAGCGAGGGGAGCCAATGAGAGAGCGAGAAAGTCGAGGCGACCAATCGGAGCGCTTCGATCGTAACTCTCCCCAGAACATACCAGGCACCCCGTTGTGCCGAGTATCCGTGGTAGCTACGTTGGTGTATGACATAAAGGTGACGTTTAAGCGTTGAGGTGAGGTGGAGGGGAGAGCTGAAGGAAAATTTGGGCATTTTATACCTTCACTCGGATACCTGCAGGCCACCAAACGTCTTCACATGAGGCGGCAACGGCAGGGAGATAACAGCTAACAGAGGTATGTAGCGTGGCTGACTTGCGCACCATAGCGCGGTATTCAGTTGTCTGTCATATGTGTGTACTGGCGCGCAGGTCTACTAACAACCGCCGTTGCTTGCGTCGGATATCATGGCAGTCCAGAAGGGTGAAGGCCAGCTGTTTTTCAGCACGAGGGATCGGCCGGGAGGGGCATGAGGATGTGGTGAGGAAGGAGGGGTTTTGTTCGTTGAGGGGGGAAGAATTGATCGTAGAGTATCTGGATTAACGACTAGAGTGTATAGGCTAGCGGTCGGTGGGGAGAGGGCAACAGAATGATACTGACAGCAAGGAGAGATAGCCTCTTGTCGTGTCCAACGTTTCGTTCGAAGAGAAACAGGGGGGGGGAGAGAATGATTCTGGAAGCGGACTGAGTGGGGCCCACACCCACTATTCAACTTTTATGCAGCCAAAACGCCAGCAAAAGCACGGCAAACTGCCTGTCTTGAAGATTTCAACCATGTTGATCGAGAGGGAGATGAATTTTGAGTTAACTTACGTGGATGATCGCACGGAGTCATTGCATCTCCTGCGTCCGTACTTGTACCACGTTAACCACTTGCGGAAGCGAAAGCATGAAGAGAGATGGGGCACGGTAGGTGATCACGGAATCAGGGTAGCTGAGCGACATGAACGCTAGGGCGTAACCGGGTAAAAATCCAAATCCATCAGACACGCTGAGTGATCGGAATGAGACCGAGCCTCGGAACCTGTGTCGATGTCCATAGTGACAAAGGAGAGCGCTCTCCATTGAGAGCACGGATGGCCATGGATTGGGAATGGCCCAGTCGGGTTTGCATCCCTGCGGACGTCAGAACGACGTCAAGCCGTCAAAGTCCGCGCTGAAGCCAGCGAACGAGGAGGGCCAAAAGGGTGGGAAAAAACGAGGCGAGCCAATGAGAGAGCGAGAAAGGCGAGGCGACCAATCGGAGCGCTTCAATCGTAACTCTCAGCTGTTAGGGGATGGACTTGGTTTGCACTTCTAACTCGTCAAATATAAGCGTGCGCTTCTCTACGCTTACCCGCACTGACTTAGCACCTACTATGGGCATATCCTTGACAAGTTCAGGGCCTACACTAACGAACTCTCTGTCATTAGTTACGACTCAGCTGAGCATTAAAAGTTCT